TCACACTTACTCTAAAATTGAGCACATAATTGAAAGTAAATCACTCCTCAGCAAATGCAAAAGAACCGAAATCATAACAAACAGTCTCTCAGACCACAGTACAATCAAGTTAGAACTCAGAACTGCACAACTTCATGGAAACTGAACAACTGGCTCTTGAATATTGACTGGATAAACAATGAAATGAAGGCAGAAATAAAGATGTTCTTCGAAACTGAGAACTAAGACACAACATACCAGAATCTCTGGGATACATTTAAAGCAGTGTCTACAGGGATATTCATAGCAATAAATGCCCACATGAGGAGCAAGGAAAGATCTAAAATCGACAGCTATCATCAAAATTGAAAGTGTTAGCGGAGCACGATCAAAGAAACTCAAAAGCTGGCAGAAGACAAGAAATAACCAAGATCAGAGCAGAACTGAAGGAGATAAAGACACAAAAAATCCTTCAAAAAATCAACAAACCCAGGAGCTGGTTCTTTGAAAAGATCAACAAAATAGATAGACTGGCAGCCAGACTAATAAAACAAAAAAGAGAGAAGAATCAAATAGATGCAATAAAAAACTATAAAGGGGACATCACCACCGATTCCACAGAAATACAAGCTACCATAAGAGGTTACTACAAACAACTCTATATACATAAACTAGTAAACCTAGAAGAAATGGACAAATTCCTAGACACTTGAACTCTCCCAAGACTAAACCAGAAGAAGCTGAAACCCTGAATAGACCAATATCAAGGGCTGAAGCCTACCAATCTAAAAAAGTCCACGTCCAGACAGGTTAAATGCTGAATTCTACCAGATATACAAAGAGGAGGTGGTGCCATATCTTCTGAAACTATTCAAAACAATACAAAAAGAGAGAATCCTCCTGAACTCCTTTTATGAGACCAACATCATCCTGATATGAAAACTGGGCAGAGACTCAATTGAAAAAGAAAACTTCTGGCCAATATCCATGATGAACATAGATGTAAAAATCTTCAATAAAATACTGGCAAACCGAAGGAAACAGCAAATCAAAAAGCTTATTCATCGTGATCAAGTAGGCTTCATCCTGGGGATGCAAGGCTTGTTCAATATACGCAAGTCTATAAATGTAATCCATCATATAAATAGAACCAAAGATAAAAACCACATGATTATCTCAATAGATGCAGAGAAGGCCTTCGATAAAATCCAACAGTGCTTTTTGCTAAAAACTCTCAATAAACTAGGTATCAATGGAATGTATCTCAAAATAATAAAAGCTATTTACAACAAACCCATAGCCAATATCATATTGAATGGGCAAAGCCTGGAAGCATCCCCTTTGAAATCTGGCACTAGACAAGGATGCCCTCTCTCACCACTCCCATTCAATATAGTATTGGAAGTTCTAGCCAGAGCAATCAGGCAAGAAAGAGAAATAAAGGGTATTCAGTTAGGAAAGGAGGAAGTCAAATTGCCTCTATTTGCAGACGACATGATTGTATACTTAGAAGACCCCATTGTCTCAACCAAAAATCTCCTGAAACTGATAAGCAACTTCAGCAAAGTCTCAGGATACAAAATCAATGTGCAGAAATCACAAGCATTCCTATACACCAATAACAGACAGAGAGCCAAATCAAAAGCAAACTCCCATTCACAATTGCTACAAAGAGAATAAAATACCTAGGAATACAACTAACAAAAGATGTAAAGGACCACTTCAAGGAGAACTACAAACCACTGCTCAAGGAAATAAAAGAGGACACAAACAGATGGAAAAACATTCCATGCTCATGGTTGGGAAGAATCAATATCATGAAAATGGCCATACTGCCCAAAGTAATTTATAGATTCAATGCTTTCCCCATCAAGCTATGAATGACTCTCTTAACAGAACTGGAAAAAACAACTTCAGACTTCATATAGAACCAAAAGAGAGCCTGCAGGGCCAAAACAGTCCTAAGCAAAAAGAACAAAGGTGGAGGCATCATGCGGCCTGACTTCAAACTATACTACTAGGCCACAGTAATCAAAACAGCATGTTACTGGTACTAAAACAGAGATATAGACCAATGGAACAGAACAGAAGCCTCAGAAGCAATACCACACATCTACAATTACCTGATCTTTAACAAACATGACAAAAACAAGCAATGGGGAAAGGATTCCCTGTTTAATAAATGGCGTTGGGAAAACTGGCTAGCCATGTGCAGAAAGCAGAAACTGGACCCCTTTTTGACACCCTACACTAAAATTAACTCCAGATGGATTAAAGATCTAAACATAAGACCTAACACCATAAAAATCCTAGAAGAAAACATAGGCGAAACCATTCAGGACATAGGCATAGGCAAGGACTTCATGACCAAAACACCAAGAGCACTGGCAACAAAAGCCAAAATAGACAAATGAGATCTAATTAAACTGTAGAGTTTCTGTATAGCCAAAGAAACAATCATTAGAGTGAACCGGCAACCAACAGAATGGGAGAAAATTTTTGCAATCTACCAATCTGGCAAAGGGCTATTATCCAGAATCTACAAAGACCTAAAATAGATTTACAAGAAAAAAACACAAACAAACCCATTCAAAAGTGGGCAAAGGATATGAACAGACACTTTTCAAAAGAAGACATGTATGAGGCCAACAAACATATGAAAATATGCTCAGCATCACTGGTCATTAGAGAAATGCAAATAAAAACCACCTTGAGATACCATCTCACGCCAGTTAGAATGACGATCATTAAAAAATCTGGAGACAACAGATGCTGGAGAGGATGCGGAGAAATAGGAACACTTTTACACTGTTGGTGGGAGTGTAAATTAGTGCACCCATTGTGGAAGACAGTGTAACGATTCCTGGAGGACCTAGAACTAGAAATTCCATTTGACCCAGCAATCCCATTACTGGGTATATACCCAAAGAATTATAAAGTGTTCTATTATAAAGACACATTGTGGCACTGTTTACAATAGCAAAGACTTGGAACCAACCCAAATGTCCATCAACGATAGACTGAATAAAGAAAATGTGGTACATATAAGCCATGGAATACTACAAAGCCATAAAAAACAATGAGTTCAAGTCCTTCATAAGGACATGGATGAATCTGGAAACCATCATTCCCAGCAAACTGACACAAGAAAAGAAAACCAAACACCACATGTTCTCACTCATAGGCGGATATTGAACAATGAGAACACATGTAGAACAGGGAGAGGAGCATCACACACTGTGGTCAGCTTAGGGGGCTGGGGGAGGACAGCAGGGAGTGGGGAGGGTGGTGAAGGATAACATGGAGAGAAATACCAGATACAGGTGATGGGGGGATGAAGGTGGTAAATCACCTTGCCATGTATGTACCTATGCAACAATCCTGCATGATCTGAACATACACCCCAGAACCTAAAGCACAATAAAAAATAAAAATTATAAAATAAAAATAAATCATGTATCTTCTCTTAGCCACCATTTTGTCATCTGTAAAACATAATAATAGTATTCTGTCCTAGTTACTTAATACAGTGGTAGAAAAGAGTAAATGAAATCATGAGCATGAAGATGGCTTTAAATGTAAAGTACAATGCAAGTGCATGGACATAGTATTGTCATGTGATGTTAACCACTATGAAATTTTAACAATAGTTTCCATGTTGTCAGCTCCCATGGCTGCGTCTCTAATCTCACCTTTTACACCCCCTGGGCAGTAGCATTTGTCACTGGTGACCATTCCCTCTCTCAGCACCCTTTTCTTACCCTTAGCCCTTTGGACTCCTTTTTTTTCTTTCTTTCTTTTTTTAAATGACTCTTACTCTGTCACCCAGGCTGGAGTGCAAGGGCACAATCTCGGCTCACTGCAACCTCCACCTTCCCAGTAGCTAGGACTACAGCGAGGTGCCACCATGCCCAGCTAATTTTTATATTTTCAGTAGAAACAGGGTTTCACCCTGCTGGCCAGGCTGGTCTCAAACTCCTGACTTCGGGTGATCTGCCCACCCCAGCCTCCCACAGTGGTGGTATTACAGGCATGAGCCACCACGCCCGGCCATTCTTGGCTTTCTTGACGCTTGGTCTCTTCTGAGCTCAAAAGTCAATCCTTTGTTATATTTGCACATCTGTCCTCTTCTATCAGACCTGTTAATATTGGAACAACCCAATGCTTGGTCCAGTGGCCCTCCATTATTTTCTGTGTGTATTCTCTCCCCTAAGAGATCTCATCTAGGACAATGACATTAAATAACAACTATATTCTGATAACTCTGCAAAGCATGTTCCAACTTTGACTTCTCCACTGAACTCCAGACTTACATATCCAGCTGCATGGACAACATTGCCACTTCGCTGTCTGAAAACTATCTTGTACTTAAATGGGAACTATTGATTCTCTTCTGCTGCCTAAAATAAACTAGTTCCAGTTTTTGCCTTCTCATAAATTGAATTTACAGTCAGGGCCCCTGCATATTATTGTGCAAATTGTAAAGAATGCAACCTACACAGCACCCCATGGTAGCCCTACTTTAATTCATTAAACTGCTCACACCAAAATCACAAGAATTATTCCTGAGTTCTCTCATAACCTGCCTGTTGACATAACTCTAAATTCTCTGAACAACTCTGCTGCCATCCTAGTTCAAGCCATCATCTCCATCCTAGGCCAGTGCAGCACCAAAAACTGGCTTCCCACTGATACCCTTGTCCCTCTTAACATCCATTGTCCACCCAGCAGTAAGAATAACTTTTATTATAAAAGAGATCATGCCTTTTTCGGTGGCTCAAAATCCTCCAGGGGTTTCCTGGTACACTCAAAATAAAACCCAAACTTCTCATCTTGGCCTGCAAGACCTGTCACAGCCTGGCCCCAGCCAACTCTGCAGCCACATCCCATGGCACTGTCCCCTCAGTCACTCTATTCATCCTGGCCACTTTCTGCCCCTTGAATATGACACATCACCATATTTTTTGACAATACATTCTAGAGCTAGCCAAGAATAGGGGGAAAAAATGAAAGTAGTATACCTTCATGTTACTGAAGTTCCTTTTGTATCTGTCTCGTTTCTGGAAGAGGGAAGCTGCCAATGGTGAGACTTCCAGACCCATCTGGGACATGCACTCTGTTTCTCTAAATAAGATTAATATCTGAGGATCAAAGTTTACAAACAATTCCCCTGTGCCTGGAGCCTTCACCAATAATGAAGCCTCAAGACCTACATGAATTTCTTCAATCTGTGGGAAGAAACCAACATTACTACTATTAGAAAGTCTAATGCATACAGAGTATCTAGTTCAGCTATCGCTGGGAATAAGGATCATTAAGTATTCTTCCATGGATTTGAGCTTCCTAAACTAAGGACAATAAGATCACTGACTCTTCTCCTAAAACCAGTCTCATAAAACAGCCTTCAAGTTCTTGGTGTTGATGTTGGGCAGTCAATTCAATCAAACCTTTCATTCAGGCAGGGCGCGGTGGCTCACGCCTATAATCCCAGCACTTTGGGAGGCCAAGGCAGGCAGATAACTGGAGGTCAGGAGTTCAAGACCAGCCTGACCAACATGGAGAAACCCCATTTCTACTAAAAATACAAAATTGGCTGGGCGAGGTGGTATATGCCTATAATCCTAGCTACTCGGGAGGCTGAGGCAGAAGAATCACTTGAACCCAGGAGGCGGAGATTGCAGTGAGCCAAAATCATGCCATTGCACTCCAGCCTGGGCAACAAGAGCGAAACTCCATCTCAAAAAAAACACCTTTTAGTCATGACTCTCACACTGATAAATAAGTAGACACTGCAACAGTGGTGATCTCAAAAGCCATTTAGCTACCTGATACCTTCATGCCTATTCTATTATTCTTCCCAAATAAAAGTTTCATAAAACCTCCTAAACTCAGTTTTTAGTTATCTAGAAAAACAACGAACACAGCTGTGGAGCCATTACATCCTGCCAACCTACAAAGAAATACACGTATTGGTAGGCTATGCTGTGATTAACCAGTTGTACAACCAAAGAAAATTTAAGACTTTGTTTAACAGATGTATTGGTGTTTAATGACACACTTAGGATCTGATTTTGTTTTTTAGACGGAGTCTTGCTCTATCACCAGGCTGTACTGCAGTGGGGCAATCTCAGCTCACTACAACCTCCGCCTCCCAGGTTCAAGCAATTCTTCCCCCTCAGCCTCCCAAGTAGCTGGGACTACAGGTGCATGCCACCATACCCAACTAATTTGTGTATTTTTAGTACAGATGTAGTTTCACCATGTGGGCCAGGATGGTCTCGATCTCTTGACCTCATGATCTACCCGCCTCGTCCACCCAAAGTGCAGGGATTACAGGCATAAGTCACCACACCTGGCTGGATCTGACTGAATTTTAAAAAGGAAGCTATCCTAACAGATTGAGCATAGGAACCAATAAACAAGATCTTCTCACTTTGGAGTTTGTAAATTACACTTTCTAACTTACACTTTTGAGTTTATAAATTAAATAAAAATGGGGTTTTGTTACCTGGCTTGTGTTTCTTTTTTTTTTTTTTCAAATTTAATAATTACTTTTCTCTGTGGACTTATTTTACTTTTTAATTGCTTAGATTCAACCCAACTACCTTACAAAATACCTGCAAATCCAGCTTTCTACAGAAATAACACTGTCAAATGCTAAGGAGGGGTTCCCATGATTCCAACAATGGGAAGAGTATAAATTTAGAGACTCACCTGCCGAAGCCACGCCCTGTGGAAGAGGACCTCAAACTCCAGGAGGACTTTGGCCATCCTGTTGTAACTGCGAATTACAGGTTTGGCTTCTGCCGTGCTTAGCACAGTTGGGTGCTGCTGGAAAAGCTGCATGGGCTGCTGAATCCTGTGGAAGAGCTGGCGGGCCCACAGGATCTTCCCAGCGATGGGAGGCTGGTTTCGAGCCAGAGGAGGATCGTATTTCTGCTTTGTATACAGCTTTGAAATCGTATCAATGTCAGCACCATAGTTCTCAAGGATAAGTCGATATTTATCATCAATACCAAGGTTAGGTATATTCAATCTGGTTTGTTAAAAATATTTAAAAGCTTGAATTAATGGAATAAAGTAAAATAAATAAAATACACAAAAAAAATCTTGTAATCTCATTTATTAATTTTTATTTTAAAACAAATGCTAATGAAAAAGAATGAGATATTTGTGTGGAATATTAAAAGAATAAAAATAAAACTCATCCATAAAATGTAGGCAAAACTATTTACTTGGAAAGACTTTTTTCAAATTGCCTATACATTAGGAAATATTACTATAGGCAGTCACAAGGTACTTCAAAGCTAAGAGTATTCTCTATTTCCAGAAATAAAATAAATCCTGCATCCTTAAGAGGATTAATCCTCTGAAAAACTTAAAAACTATGACCTCAAATTGTCAAGAGAGGTTTTTCTTTCCTTTGGAATAAGAAATAATAATAATAGCAATAACAACAATAAAAGCTAAACTATCCCAATTTTAGGTAATAGAAAATTTCTTGAAACTTTTACCTTTCAAATTTCTTCAACATTCTTAGAGCTTGATTTGTGTTTTGAATCTTTTCAAATGTAATATCCATGAACTTCTGCAACTCATTCTAAAACAGAAGAAAATCTGATGATGAACAATAAAATAGAATTGAGAATTTCCTGTTTAGTAACAAGATAAAGGAACTTTCCATTCTGTGCAAACACATATGATATGGAAGAAAATGTAACTGAAAAATTGAATGAGCGTAAAAGAAAAATAAATGCCCAGAAGCCAGAAGCAAAGAGAGACTTGAAAGCCAAAGCAGCCACAGGAGCTGGCACGACAGCAGCTTCCACAGGTATTGGGCCAGACACAGAGCCTGGGGGGTGGCATGAGGGCTTTATCACAATATAGAGAGAAGAGCTATGGGATCCTAATACTCTCAACAGATCCTGTGGAAAGCTGGGGTCTTTGAAGCGCTGCCCAGTACATGCAAAGGGAATTGAGTCACAAGTTGGGAAAGCTGCAAAGAGGCTTGACATCTGCCCAAACCCTTAAATAGGTGGGAAAAAGTCACCCTACAATAGAGTTCTCATACTTTCTCACCACAGTTACTCACTTCTACCACTGTAATGCCAAACACCCACAGACACTGTACAATTAAATGGGCAAAGCACTCTTCGGCTCTTGGCCATAGTTTGCTGACCCCTGCCCTAGAGGAAGTGAAATCCCACATCTGTGCCACACCTAGATAAGTGGTCCAAGTTTAAACTACACATGAAATGAAAGGGCTATAACCCAAGACATTGACATAAAAGCTCGTCTGGGAAGGTAAAACCACTAAGACCCCAGCAGAATTCATGAAAAGCCACTCTATAAAAACACTTTGAAAAGCAAGGGCCAAAAGATTCCTACCGGAAAAAAAAAATAAATACATAACTTCTAAAGAAGCTCAAAAGGTTTTTGAAAACCCCATGAGAAAATGATCTTTGAGAGAGGAGGAGCAGAATGCACAAACATAATTAGTAACCAAGTACTAGAAATGACAGAGCAGTCTGAAGGAGACTATGAAATAAAAATATTTAAAGTTGTTAAAGAGTAAAGAAGAAACAGAAACCATAGAAAGAACAGAACAGTATAAAATAAGAGCACTCAGATATTTAAAAATACAACTTACACATATACAGGGGAATATCATTACAATTCAAAATATAATAGATGCAAATTATATACACCTGAAAAGAAAAATGATGAACGGCAAGACAGTTCTCAAATAAAATCACCCAAAGTATAGCAGAGAAATAAAGAAATGGAAAAATACAAAAAAAAAAAAAAAGATGTTAACAAACATGGAAGATATAAAAAGAAGATGTAACATATGGCTTGTCTATTGGAAATCCTGAAAGAAGAAGTTATTTAAAATGATAAAGGCTGAGTATTTTCCACGGTTAAAAAAAGACTTAGTCCTCAAATGGAGGAAGCACACCAAACTCTGAACAAGAGAAATATTTTTTAACCACACCTACAAGTCACATAGAGCTTCCAAAGGTAAAGAGAAAAACAATATTACAAGCAAAAAAAATTAATATTAAAAGAGAAAAATAATATTAAAATCACAAAAGGGGGAAATCACATTATCTAGAAAGAAATGACTATTTGATAACAAATACCTCATTCAAAACAATAGGCGCCAAAAATTAACGAAAAAAGGTCTTCTGATTGCTGAAGGAAAATAACATCCAAACTAAAATCACACGTAAAACGAGACTAATATTCAAGATGGAGGGCAACTTTATAGGCATTTGGGGGTAAAGACTGGAAGAGTTTGCCATTAACAGACTCTTATTAAAATAAAACTAAAATATATACTTCTTTTGGGAGGCCGAGGCGGGTAGATCACAAGGTCAAGAGATCAAGACCATCCTGGTCAACATGATGAAACCCCATCTCTACTAAAAATACAAAAATTAGCTGGGCATGGTGGTGCACACCTGTAGTCCCAGCTACTCGGGAGGCTGAGGCAGGAGAATTGCTTGAACCCAGGAGGCAGAGGTTGCGGTGAGCTGAGATCGCGCCATTGCACTCCAGCCTGGGTAACAAGAGTGAAACTCCATCTCAAAAAATAAAAAATAAAAAAAGAATGATAATGAACCCAAAAAGAGAGAAAGATACAATTAGAGTACTAATGAGATGTAATAATAAGCAAAGCAATCTGTAAACATGTTGCTAAATCTAAATAATTATTAGTAACAAAAGTATAAAAAGTCTAACAGCAAAGATAAAACTAAAATTCAAGATAACCATTGCATGAATGAGAGGTGGGCTGATAAAACAATTAATTTTAAACTTTTTAAAGTCAGGTATATATGCTAAAGCCACTAAAAACATAAATACAACATTAAAAATATAAGTAGAAGAGGAATAAAGAGAACAACAAAATTTAATCAACAAAATATAAAACAGAAAAAGTCAAAGAAAGAAGCTCACCTCATTGAAAATTCAAAATAGATTATAGAAGTAATTTTAACTATACTAGAAACCACAATCAATGTAAATGGCTTAAACTTGCAATTAAAGGAAAGAGAGTCTCAGCTATTTTTATATGTACATATATAAATCATATATAGAGATATAGATCATATATATTTATATATGATTATATATAGATATTACATTAAATTATAGATATATGGATTTAATATGAATGTGAATTATATATGTGTTTGTGTTGAATAATATATAAAGATGTTATACATATAAATTATAGACAAACAGATTTTATATATATATATATGGATTCTATGTATGTGGATTATATGTGTGTGTGGATTATATGTATATAATCCAACCATTGCTCTTTTAAGAAATAGCAGGCCAGGTACAGTGGCTCACACCTTCAATCTCAGCACATTGGGAGGCCAACAGGGGCAGATCCCTTGAGCCCAGAAGTTTGAAACCAGCCTAGGCAACATGCCAAAATCCTGTCTCTATAAAAAATACAAAATTTAGCTGGGCATGGTGGTGTGCACCCGTAGTCTCAGCTACTCAGGAGGCTGAGGTGGGATGATCGTTTAAGCCCAGCAGGTCGAGGCGGCAGTGAGCCAAGATCTTACCACTGCACTCCAGCCTGGGTGACAGAGCAAGACCCTGTCTCAAAAAAAAAGAAAATGGTGGTCTGGATATTGCCAACCGGTTGCCATATGTTACTTCTGACCTCACATTATCTGAAATCAAATCCATTTAGGTACTAATTCTTATTGCATATCAAACTGGTCTCCTCATTTTAACACTACATCAATTAATGTCTCTTCAAGTTGGCAAAGACTTAAAACTTCTGACTGGTAAGTTGAAAAAAAGTTGCTGACTTTGCCTTGAAGCATGAAATATAAAATAAGGAAATAATTTTTCTATGTTTTATTTAATTAAATTTGGATTTTAATTATAGCTCTGCACTAAATCTTAGGATGCACAAAGAATAAGTTGTGCTTAGTCTTTTGGAGCAATTTTTTGGAAGGAGGGTCAAAGTACATAATAGTATAAGATGTGTAATGTTCTCAGGAGAACCCATAAAGACGGTTTTAGAAAACATATTTGAGGGGTTCATGACAGGGATTTTTAAATCATTCTTTTTACAACACATGTTTCATCTTTAATGCTTTTAGAACAATTTTAACTCTTTGATTAATCTCATTCTGAGATAGAGCTATTGGTGAGCAGGGGATGGGTAAGCTGCAAACCTGCTGCCCGATCCAACAAAGCTCCAAAACTGAAGGATCTGGAAGCCTATTACAATACTTCCTTGCCCTCAATAGTTCTGGCTACTTCTACTGGAAGTATATGTATTTTTAAAGTGACATTATTTCTTCTGCTACGTCCACATCTTAGGATGAAAAAATGTTCCTGCATTAAAAAAACAGTACAGTTAGCCTACCGAAATGAGTATCTAAATGTTTTCACTAAATAAAAAATCTCTGTGTATAAATTATGCAAAACCGAAACATTTATAACCCTTCCACTGCCTCCCTCTCCTTCAGACACCAGCAAATCTCCACTGGGCCCTAACACTGTTACCTGGTTTTTCTTGCCTTTCTACCCTATGGCTTTGCAAAGGCCTGGGCTGAACTGTCTGTGAACATGTATGACCTAGAATTAATTTTCTTGTTCTGAGCCTCGGTCCATTCTTACAGTCTGTGGGGGCTGGGAATCTTCACACTTATCTTCCCATTAGTTCTGGGGTCTCAGCTCCTACTCAGTTTTCCTTTAAGTCAGCTTGCCACTCAACACCCATCCTTTACTAAGCAGTGCCTTCTCCATCTGCTGCAATCAGCATGCTTCTAGACTTCCAACAGCCCACTTGGTTCCAACACGCTGCCTTCTTTGACCTGTTAGTACCAGCATGAACCCTAAATCTGGAGAGGATTCCAGGCTCTGATCCCTTTGACGGGGAGCCACAGACATCACCCTAATCCAAGTCACTCAGGAGTCTTTCACTTGAGATGCTACAGTTGCTGAGTCTCTCCAAGACTCCTGGACTCATCACCACCCTCACTCCATCCAGAGTCACGGGAAGGTAAGTATTTTTGCCACAGCTTTATCAAGACGAGGGCTGAATTCATGAGAGTGGGTGAGTATTTAAAGGAGAGACTACAGAACAATTAGTTAAGAGAAAGAGAATGGACAAAGGAATAAAGAAGTCTAAGTAAATGAAAAACTCATAGGCAAAAAAGTCAGAAGTGAACAATTTTTAGATGGAAGACAAGACAGATAATAGTGTTGAATTTATTTTAAGAAGGCTGAGTAGAAAGGGAACTAATACAGTAGTCCCCTTTTATCCTCAGGAATATGTTCCAAAACCCCCAGTGAGTGACTGAACCAAAGATAGCACCAAACCCTAAATAGACCACGCTTTCCCCTATACATACATACAAACATCATAATGTTTAATTTACAAAATAGGCATAGTAAGAGATTAGCAACAATAATTAATAAAAAAAACTAGCACGATTTTAACAACATACTGTAATAAAAGTTATGTGATGTGCCCTCTCTCTCTCTCTCAGAACATCTTATTGTACTATACTCACCTATTTTGAGACCACAGTTGATCATGGGTAATTGAAACCATGGAAAGTAAAACCACACAAACATCTTTCCAGCATCAAGCACAGCCTCCTCTCTGAAGCTTTCCTAACCCCAGCCAAGCAGAAGTATCAGATTATCTTTTCATAGGTTCACAAGATCGGATTCTACGCAATGTTTTGCAGACCTGATCTCCCTATACACTTCTGTGGGACTTGAGCTATATCTCTTTATTTTTGAATCCTGACTTTTTGGCATAATATCAGAATAGTATTCTTTCATAACTAGCCATTTTAGCCCCATCTGCCATTTTTTAATGCTACATTCATTACTCTGTTCTTATATATGTGCTTATGTTTTAATCATTTCACTGCCTGCCTCCTATCTCACTATGAGCTGCGAGAGCAAATCTACTTGATTCATTTCTATAATCATAACCTACAGCATAGAAGCCTATACATAATTGCTGTATACCAAATGTTTGTTTCATTTAAATAAATCTACATGTTCTTATTAATATATGGGAATAAAACATAATCCCTGCATTCAAGGTGCTCACCATCTATGTTCCACGTGTCAGTTACATCAGTACCATGTGGTCAAACACTGCTGGGAAACACAGGTGAACATCAGAATCTGCCATTATCCATCAATTTCTAACAAAAAGAGACCAAGATCCACTGTCCTTACGTCTGAATCTGCCCCCAAAAGAAGTCATTGCTTAAATTATTACAGGCATTCTCCCTTTCCTTCTGCTGCATGGCACAATTTAAAAAGCTGAATTCTAAAGCCAGAACACCTAGGTTCCACCCCTTGTTATGTCTGTGACTTTGAGCAAGCCACTTCACCTCACTGTGTCCCAGATTCCCCCTCTGCAAAATGAGCAGAACAAGAGCACCCACTTTATAGGATTATTGTGATTATTAAGTGGATTAGCACATACCAGGTGCTTAGAACAGCGCCTGACACATAGGATTAGCTAGCTTCGTTTACAACTCATTCTATCACTGAACTCATTCCTCCAAAGTGTCTCAGAGCTCCTTTTACTTTGAAGTACATAAATTTAATGCAAACCAAAAACTCTGGGAAAGAAATAGAGTGCCTATGTTCCTCTTTTAGTCAGAAAGATATACATTTGCACCTCACTGGAATGAAAAAATGTCCACATATTCATTATGGTAGATACTTGTCCGGTGTCTCCCCATCTTACCCTCTCTGACTCCCCTTTCCTGATAATCAGCATTCCCAATGACCCAGTGGATCCTACCCCGCCGGTGTCTAGCACAAGATCTCACAGTAGAGAGGTGCAGGACCAGGCACCTCACCAGAACTGGCAAGCCCAACCCCTTCCCCAGGAATCTGGAGCCTGCCTGGTCCTGTGAAACAGTCTCAGTAGCTACTGATGCCATAAACTGCTCATATGAGCTGCAAGGCATGACGGCTGGTCTACAGTGAGCAGGGAAAGAAGGAAAAGAGGAAGGGGTTGCAAGACCAAGAAGACGTCCGGGTGTTGAGCGGTCCCACCATTTCTAAGGCCAGTGGCAGGCCTGCCTTGGAATCTGCCAGACATTGCTGACCATTTGCCTGAGCCGCCTCTGGTCATAATCATTGCTACACAGTGACAAGTGGAAATAAGTGTCTATATTCTAATCACACCGCAATGTTCAACAGAAGGTGAAAGTTAACTTTCTAAGAACTTCAATGGAAGACGTGTAGAAGTCTGATCCACATCATTAGCCAAAGCTATATTTATGACCCTTTAATCCATGAAAAACAGCCTTCAATTATTCATCTGAAATCACAAAACACAGGCTGAGGTTGCTATCGGTCACCTCCATGATGAAGACACCTCTGCCTTCTGAATGGGTAATGATTAACAGCATTATACAGAAAGGAAAAAATAAACACATGACTGTCAACAGGAATTTTATTATACAACCTACATGAAGGTCACTAGTCTGCTTGCAAAACTCTTCACAATCTTGGTCAAAATCCATTTTCCGCTGGTCTAAGAAATTATATTCCTTTTTCTTTATGGTTGCCACAATGCCCTGAAATATTATGAGATAAATTAGATAACATTTCAATATTCTTATATTACCTAACTAAGTAAGACCCTTAAATGTACAGCCTATACAACAATTGCCAAAAAAATCCATTTAAAGGAAGGTTTATTTTTTTACTCACATTGTTTCACACTTATTATTTTATAGGCAGTATAAAGCAGCCATACTGCATTCAAAGAAATCACTTGGAAAGGATTTTTATGTTTTATGTATTTTTGAAAAAATAAAATAAAAACCACATCTGAAAATTGGGAAAGGTTTTTTTGTTCACTAAAAGTTTATTGTTAACCGTATGTAAAATACTTTTTTAAAGCCCAGAGAAGAATTTACTAAAATATTTTGTTGAAAAGTTTAAATCTTCTCAGAAAATAAATAAGGCTTTCACAGAACACAAACAATATAGGAAGAAAATAATTATGTTATATCTACAGACAAGTTACTATCTTCCAAGCCGCAAATCTCTTAAAAATGTCAAACCAGAATCCACCACTTAAAACCCCTCTAGAATTAATTGCTTTCTACTGTCCTGCAAAGCTGCAGCCTGTGACTAGAAAAGTACAAACTAGGAAGTTCATCTCCTTGAAAATACTATGATCGGAAGCCTTGTTTGCTTTGAGTAATGAACTATAATACTCTGTGATTCTTCTTAACCAGGCACTAAGCTATTCTCAAACTCAAGTGCCCACATTGTTGACAGAGGCATATAATTTTTATGAAGAATATTGGGCCCCCTTCTTCTATGATCTCCTCTTCAAAGTCACTTCCATTTAAACATCAAATCTCTCAATAGACAAAAGTGTATAAATGGCATAACTTTTTGAATCAAGTTTACTAGATAAAACAACTTACTCGTTCATGCAGCATAACTACAAAATTAGTTCTATTTAGAAACTGTGTGTGTATATATATGTTTTTATGTAACATTATATATATGTATGTGTGTGCATGAAATATTATATAAAATATGCGCACACAAAATATATATATACGCATGGAATGATACAATGCCTAGGATTTACAGTGCTGATATTTCTTAAAATCAAAAGAATCAAAAGTGTGTATGTATATATACACACATATATATATATACATATAGAAGTAGCTTTTCCATGCTTCCTTTAGACATTTTATATGACACTCTATGTGTGTGTATACATATATACATATGTACATATGTGTGTATACATATATACATATGTACATATGTGTGTATACATATATACATATGTATATATGTATGTATATGTATATATATGTGTGTGTGTGTATTTAAATACACACACACACATATAGTATTATATTTGTAGGGACAGGGATGAATCTGGAAACCAGCATTCTCAGCAAACTGACACGAGAACAGAAAACCAAATACCGCATATTTTCACTCACAGGCGGGTGATGAACAATGAGAACACATGGGCACAGGGAGGGAAACATCTCACACTGGGGTAGATTAGGAGGTGGGGGGCCAGGGGAGGGGAGGAACAGAGGGGGTGGGGAGTTGGGGAGGGATAACACCAGGAGAAATGTCTGATGTGGGCAACAGGGGGATGGAGACAGCAAACCACCATGGCATATGTGTACCTAGGCAACAATCCTGCAGGATGAGCACATGTACCCTAGAGCTTAAAATACAATAAAAAATAATAATAATAAAATGTCTAAAAGAAGTATGGAAAAGCTACATTACCACATTTTAATGTAGCAATTTTAAAGATTTGGGGATTTGAGAAAATCCTGCTCTATGACTGGATTTAATGGTCACTTAAGATTATTAAGTTAAATAGAAAATGATTGTGACCTTTACACCAACTACTCAAGTTCAATCTACTTAATTATTTTCTTGATAGATATTTTTTGCACACCTATTATGTGGCAAAAAACTTTAAAGGTTTCCTGCTAAATAAAGGTCTTTTTCTTTTTCTCTCCCAAAACTTGGTATACTCAATGAAAAAGATTCCTTATGTTAGGCTAAACTGTTAGAGTACAAAAATTAATGTGTAAATAGCAAAGACTTGGAACCAACCCAAATGCCCATCGATGTTAGACTGGATAAAGAAAATGTGGTACATATACACCATGGAAGACTATGCAGCCATAAAGAAAAAGATGAGTTCATGTCCTTTGCAGGGACATGGATGAAGCTGGAAGCCATCATTCTCAACAAACTAACACAAGAACAGAAAACGAAACACCACATGTTCTCACTTATAAGTGAGAGTTGAACAATGAGAACACATGGACACAGGGAGGGGAACATCACATACTGGGGACTGTCGGTGGGTGGGGATTAGGGGAGAGACAGCATTATGAGAAATGCCTAATGTAGATGACAGGGTGAAGGATGCAGCCAACCACCATGGCACATGTATTCCTATGTAACAAACCTGCAACTGTATGTTCTGCATATGTATCCCAGAACTTAAAGTACAATTTTAAAAAAATTAGTAAGCAGTGGTTAATTATATGATCCTTTTCAAATTCAAGTACCAAAATTTTAAGATTTAGTGTCACTGTTCCCCAAAAAAGAAAAAAAATTGACTATGTCTACATTAAGAATTTAAAGCAAATTGTTTATAAATCGTGTTTCTAAAATCTTCAAGATGTTATTAGGTCATCATGCCTACTTTCAAAACTAAAGTTAGTCACACAGATACCATCACAAGATAAAGCAGTTAAAAATCAAAATAATCAGGGGAGTCTGATCTAGAATAAAATCAGGTCCTTTATATTTTTTAATATGTGTCCAAATAAAATACTTAAATGCAGAAATAATTTAGTGTCATGCAATGCCTGGTGTCAACTAGTGTCTGACACAGTGTACTCTTCATTAAATATTTCTTGCATAAATAAATAAAATAATAAGTTACATTTAAGCATTTTCCTTGTACTACTAATGAAAATGCTTTTTTAATGGTGATTAATTTTAGGCTATTGGGAAGTCATTCTTATAACCACACACCTGAAAAGAACATATTACCACCATTACACAATTCTCAAAATAAATCTAATTTCCTTATTGTTAAAGGACATGAGGTTATTTATATTACATTACAAACTGATGATTTGAATCATTCTCAACACTGTTATTTGCATAAAATATTGAAGTTTAGTTGTCGATTATGGTAGAAAATATAGCTTTAAAGTACAATACCTGGTATTTAGTGACTATGTCTTCCAGCCCCTCAATTGTAGAATCTTGCAGGACTGAATACGTCCTGAGGATTGTAAAGATGTCTATTATCTTGGCAAGGCGTCGGTGAAAAGTTTCAAATTTTCCAAAAATATACATCTCACTAAAATCAAACTGCTTTGCATTTGGATCTTGTTTAAGCTTTTGTTTTGTCTTGTGAAAGCAGTGCTGGTATTCCTTAAAATCACAAGAAAAATATACAACAAAGGGAATCATAGAAGTATCAACTTTATTTTCTTAAGCGAAAGCGACAGGAAAATTAGGATGGAATTGCAAGCCTTTTTTATAGTTTCATGCCTTTGCGTGTACTCACTCATCAGCCTGGAAAATCATCTTTTCACCTCTTCGAATGAAGCAATTCTAGATTCTAATCTGATTGCTCATGACACAACTCAAAGGTGTGGTTTTCCCATCTTGGTCGCACGGTTTTGGTAATAGCATCCTTCTATGACTCTCTCTCTCCATTCATCTTTAAGATGCTTAAGAAAAACTACCTCATATAAGTTATCTTTGTATCTCTAGTACTTAATGTGGTAACAGGACATAGTAGGCTCCCAAGGAGGGTAAAAAAAAATAACCGAATAAATTTTCTGGGAAAGTTAAGTAACATTCAATTTTCTTAATAGTTAAGAATCACTGTTCTTTTTAGCAACCAATAATATAATAATAATAAAATGATTTCAGATGGTCTCAGCAGCAAAAATAAGATAAAAATAACAGAACATCTAAATACTAAACTGACCATTACCTGTTTCAGTTTAATCGCAGATAATATCTTTTCTACAACAACATCCTGTGGCTGGTTCCAGATGGAAGCAGTTCCATTATTGGTAATATAGGCTTTACATGAAGATATAATCTGATTTGTCACCTGGGATTTTTCAATAAAATGATGTTAAGTACACAAAACAGCCATGGATTGTACACTGGACTAGAAGGTCCTTAACGCTTCTGCTTCTCAGAACTCACAGTCTTCTAACTTGAACTTGGACTTATTTTTTTCCATCACAATTATAATCAACCAATGACCCTCTGATATTGTCAAAATTGTTTGTGAAATCACAGAGTTGGAAGCACCATGGAAAATCGACAATTTGGGCCACCTTGTTTATGCAGGATGAATTGTCTTAACCAACCAAGAAAGGATTCATTTCCCTACCTAAAAACTGATGAGTTTTATAATATCTAACTCACAGTTTCTTAGCACCATTTAAAGTACTGTCAACCCTGATCTTTCCATGTGACCATGCTCAGCAATGGAAATGTCACAAGGAGAAGGCCACAGAGAGAAGGAAAGCTAATGTACAAAACCACTAACATTTCATTCATTTATTAATTTTTTGAATAACACACAAAGAAAATTAAATGACCATGCTACATGCATGGAATGATATGATACCAGGATTTACAGTGCAAGGGGTGGGGGTATGGGCGAATCAAGATCAGCCATGTGTGGATATTTGCTGAATCTAAGTGACATGTACATGACATTCCAGTATACATTTCTCTCTTCTTTTGTACTCACTTCAACATTTCCATAATGAAAGGTTTTTTTTATAATTAGATAAATGGTGGTTTAATTATTTTATGCTAGACCAAATTTTGCAAATAATATGCATAAAACCTAAATTAATAACACAAATTTACTTTTGGGTCTCATTTACACAGGGAATACTCCCCCAACCCTAACGTATAATTTTAAAGTATACAGAAGTTGGGAGGGAATCTTGCAGCCAACCCTCCTTTTTTTTTTACCTCAACTACCTACATGAGAGCAGTTTCCCATTGAGCTCTTAAGGCTGGATGTCCCTATTCCCAGGAAGAATTGTGCCTCCTACTGTGTTAGTATTCAGAATGCAAGTCTTGATGAGTCAAAAATTCTTCTATTTTAATACAACATTTAAGATTTTTGCCTTGATAATTAAAAAGTCATTTACTCCTTAGAGACCATTCAAAATGAGAATACTGACAATGCTTACCATAAACACTTACGAGTTAGGACATAAGGTTTAAGCATCGTTATGTGTTTTGGCAGAATCATTATAATTGTTTTATAGATTACTAGAACATTGCAAATGGCTTTTATTGCAATGATTACTGTTCTAATAACACCAAGTAAACAACTGTGGCATCAAATAAATTTGGAACAGTGGCATATGAAATATGAAACAGGAGACAGCCAGTTAACTATAGCTTTTCTTAATTAAAATTTACCCAGTAGGAATACATGATGTGCTAAACCACATAGGAAAAGAAATTCCAAAAGTAATCTTTTTTCATTTGTATTATATAAATAATAAAATATGGGAAATAATGCTTTATGATTTGCTAGAGTCAGCCTCTGACATAAATTTAATTCTATCTCTATTGATAGCCTAAGCCTTTTTAAAATGGTTAAGATACATACATATAGAACTGGGCCAATGTGGTAATTTTTAATTATCAAAAAATTGATCATTGGCAAAGAAATATAAATGACCATGAACTCTACATCACACACTTACCTTTACAAACAGAGATGTGATCTTCTCAGAGGTGTTATAATAATGAGAGATACTATAGATCATTTTAATTGCATTTATTAGTGTAGGAATAGCATCCATCATGGACAGCTGAAAGACACCATCAAAGTTTTCAGAAAAAAAAATCATCAAATTCAGCAAAATTCTAATAGACTAACCATTCCACTAGCATTAAAATAAAGTTTAAGATAGTTCCATTAAACATTTAAAAATATTATCTAATGCTTTACATGAAAATAATATATTTAATAGTACTTTTATGATTTTAGTCATATACGGTTAATCAAATGTTATTTCAATTAAAGAAATACTGACCTGCTGTTAATGACAAGCAACATCGAGTTAACTGTTAACTGTTATTAATGAGGAACTGTTAATAACAGTTAATGTTGTAATAAGTAAAAGCAGGCATTTCCTAAAGCTAAAAGATCAATCACCAGTTAATAACTTTTCCCATAGTTCTTCGGGGTATATAGTTCAGAATGTCCTTTGCAATATTTAATGGAAAATGTAACATGCAATAAATGTTTTAAAATATAACACCTCATACATATCGTCAATAAATAGTAGATAGATTGTTTAGAGTTAGATATAGAAATACAGATATCTGTGTGTGTGTGTGTGTGTGTGTGTGTGTGTGCATAATTTTCTTGGAAATAAAAAGTTTCTAAGACCTTTCCAATGGACTGTAATATCGATGAACCAAAATTCAATATTCAATTCAGCTAGTGAAAAAAGGGTTGTCTATAGATTAAAAGAATAGAAATCCTTAACTCACTGGATCACTGCTGTACAAAGGGTCACAACATTTTTCCAGTGTATACAAGTATTTCACATTGTCCTTTGCTTCGTTAGTTGCATCAGTGATTCGAATATCTGTCTCCCGCCAAGTCTAAGCACAATATGGAAAAGCAATTTTAATGCAATTATTAATAGAGGAAATTCCAACATAACAACCGCTAAGAGTCACCACAAATCCATTAGGCCAGACTTTCTGTGCATCTCACATAAAACTGAATCCAGAGGGGTGAGAGATATTGCTATGCTGGAAAGCAATTTAAAAGTTTTGACTAAATTTTTTAAAGCATCTCTTCCAGGGCTTCTCATATAAAAGCTATGCCATGACTGTCACAGGGTACCAAGAAGGCAGCACCTACCTTTTTAACTCACACCTTTTCCCCTCCACTGGTTACCAGACCCATTTGGTACCTCACTCCCATATTTTCTGTCTTTCTGCCATTCTAACCTGAACTCCCTTCCTATATCCCTATACATTTATTCACTAATGTAGTAAATATTTATTATCTGCCAACTGTATGCCAGAACTATGCTATGAGCTAGTAACTTAGAAATAAAAAGATAATCTAACAGTGAGAGAAGTAAAAGGAAATTATTTAGCACGTCAAAACGTTCCACTGACTTCACGGAAGTCCGACTGATAATACTTCTGAACTATATAGCAAGGTTCACCTCTGCTATTTCTTTTGAGAATAATATAAAGTAAATCTATAGCACATTTATAGCAACAAAGTATTATTGCTTACTTAGATTATTTGCATGTATCAAAACATGCAAATAGCTAATAACACCCATGCAAATAGTTAACAAATAGTCTTTCCAACATTAATGCCAGGTGAGTTAGGCAGCCTCTGTGATCGTCCCCGATGACCACAGACTCCCTGTATTCAAGCTCGTGTATTCATCCCCGCTCCTTGATTGTAGGCTGAATCTAGTGACTTGCTTCCAGTAAGGAGAATATGACGAAAGTGATGGGATGTCACTTCAAGAACTAGTTTACTTAAAGACTGTGGCTTCTAGGTTGGGTGCTCTCTTGCCTCTCTCACTTGCTCCCTTTAAGGGATGCCAGCTGCTGTATTCTAAGCTGCTCTATGGAGAGGCCCATGTGGGAAGGAACTGAAGGAAGTCTCCAACCAACAGCCAGCAAGAAACTGAATCCAGCAACATCCAGTTGAGTGAACTCGGAAGCAGATCTTCCCCAAGTTGAGTCTTAAGATGAACCCACATCACAGCTGCAACCTTATGAGATACCTGGAGTCAGAGGCACCCAGCTAAGCTGTACCCAGGTTCCTGGCCCATAGACTGTGAGATTAAAATATTGGCTGTTTTAAGCTGCTAATGGTGGTTGTTTGTTTTACTATATAAAACTAATATACAAGGGCTAAAAAATAAACATGAATAAGGTGAGTTTTCATTATTATTATTTCTGGCTGGTCTGAAAACATTATCTATATATACATATATATGTGTGTACATATATATATATATATATATATATATATACACACACACATGCTATCATGCTCTGTCTTAATTACATGCAATGCCCTCTAATAACACATATACATACATGTAGACCAGCTAACAAAATGCCTTTAATTCATTTTGTTATATAACTTTGCCTCCAAAGTTATATGAGGGAAATATTATGTAATTTTAAATGTTTTTCATAAAGGTATCATAACACGTTTTTGTCCCTAATCACTCTATGACTTGTAAATATGCATAGAGAATTCTCCTTCCCATTTCATAAGGAAAAATGAAATGGCTGATGACCTTCAGCAGTTTTGACTTGGCCGCTGCAAGCACTGCCAGCACGGCCTTCACATCAGGACTTTTCAGTTGTTCCAAGAGGTAGTTAAACTTGGAGAGCCTTTTCTTCCAGTACTCCAGCTCTGCTCGTGGCCCAACGTCATCTGCTTCCTTCCGCAGCTGATTGTTTTCAGCAAGAACCTGCAGATGCACAGGAAAACATGAACCATTGTGTGGGGCTGGAGATACTAAAATTATACACAAGCAAAACAAATAAGGAAATCAATTATCCTATCTGGATCATGATATATGTGTATTCCATGCTTCCAGCAACCATCTTTTACTAACTTAGCATGTATCCATTTTTAAATGCCAAAAAAATTTATTTGACTTGTTTTCACTGAAAACCGCTTATGTCTCCCTTGTTTGAAAATAGTTTATATTTGGGGGTTATTTTGAGATTTTTGATTTGTATTTTTTTCTTTTAAGGATATGTATTTTACATATTTATGGGGTACATGTGAGTATTTATTATATGTATAGAATGTGTCATGATCAGATCAGAGTATTTGGGATCTGATCACCTTGATTACTTACCGTTTCTATGTGTGGGTAACACTTCAAGTCCTCTCTTCTAAGTATTAGATTGGTGCAAAAATAATTTGCCCTTGAAAGTAATGGCAAAAACCACAATTACTTTTTGCACCAACCTACTATTTTGAAATATACAGTATACTGTTGTTAACTACAGTCACCCAATCTGTAATCGAAAACTACCTATTTAATGAGCTGTAATGAGTTTCTGAAGGCCTTGACCTCAAGAATTTTTCTTCGCTATTCATTTACTCTATCACCTTGGAGTAACATAACCTTATTAAATTGCATGGTTTAGGCTAGTGGATTTTAATTTTGCTTACTTTTTAATGTAATGTCCACCTTCATTCCTTCATTTAGGACTTTTCTGAATTTGTTTTAATGTTAAGTCTCCAGCTCCCTTTCGGAGGACATGCTGAAATAGAAAACTCCTCATGCTTCTACAGCGGTTCTCTCCAAAGTAAATTAGACCTCAAGGAAAAGAAACTTGCAAAGTGCAGCCTTCAAGTGATCTAAGTATACAAAGTCATTACCTCTTCTTAATTCATAATACTAAATGAAAACCACATTGGACCTCTCACCTCCTTAAGGATTTATAGTAAAACTCTTTAGCAAATGGAATGTCACATGATAATACACCTTCTTCCATTGTCTAGTTCAGTTACTTGGCACCTGAAATTGACATTTGGTTTCTCAAAATTACCTGTTCTGTCTGTTTGATCCATACTTTCATACAATCCTCTATTTTTTCCAAAGTCTCAGGGTTATTTGCTAGAGTCAAGTAGTCCATAGGTTCCTTTAGGGTTTTCAGTTCAAGTATGCCACATTTTCGAAGGTTCACCTAATCAGAATGAAAATTAAATAATAAGATGATGCTTTTATAAAACACACAGACTTTGGGCCCTGTATTTTTCACTTTGCTGCACTCTGACAGTGCTCTGGGAAGCCTGTCAGGTAGCACATGCCTCCTCTCCACTCCCACGTGCCTTTGTCCACATTGGCCCCAGACTGCCGGGACCTCCCAACACTTCTCTGTGATCCTACACAACCTCACAATTCAACCAAAAGCCCGCTGCCCTCTGCCACTCAGAAAGAATGCCTCCTCCCACCTGGGCACTCATCCCATTTTGTTAAGACTTTTGTTGCAATATGAAGTGGAACCATATAAAAAAAAAATATTGCTTTTTTAGACAAAATGCCAACCTTTTCATTTTGTCCAACCTGCATTTTGGTCTGGCCTCCATCACAGTTAATCACAAAAATAACTCGGGCATTAGCTGGAGTCATCCAGCTAATCATCCTGTGTCTGCCTGAATAAAAGTTGCTTAACTCCCCCATTCCATACCCCTTGGAAAGCATAATGCCCCCTCCCCAATCCCAGCAGGATCAGCACTCCTGGGAGAGGAGGGCAGAGTGTTACACTGTCATCATTACCATGGGACCCATTTTCCTACCTCCCCCTACATTCCCAATCTGGGCTCTGTCATCTTATTCCCTTATCTCTCTCTCTCTCTCTCTCGTTCTATCTGTTTCACACACACACACACACACACACACACACACACAAACATGCCTGCATCCATCAAACGCTGCCCCAAGTAATCACAAACCCAGACTTATAAACAGCACAAAGTATACAGCAGCTAAATCTCACATCTGCCAGAATTATTCTTAAAGGCCTTTTGATCATTGGCTGAGCCACAGGATCCAACTTGCTCTCTCCAAACATATCAATTTCTCTTTCCTTCTTCTGCCCCTTCAGGATCCCTTCTGCCACCCTCATCCACCCCCACACACACACTTCAGTTCCAAATTCCTTTCATTCTAGGATGCACAGCACTGCCACAAGCATTTCGGACTCTTGCCTTTGGAGTCACTCATCTAACTGAGTAAAGTCCTGCATCATTGCCAACATTTTTATGGAACCCCTGAATGGGATGATTATTACAAACTGTGGAAACTTGAATCTAATCACCACCACATCTTGAAGGAGCAATAAAATTGCCTGCAACGCACTGTTTACAATAACAAAGACCTGGAACCAACCCAAATGCCCATCGATGATAGACTGGACAGGGAAAATGTGGTACATATACACCACGGAATATTATGCATCCATCAAAAATGATGAGTTCGTGTCCTTTGTAGGGACATGGCTGAACCTGGAAATCATCATTTTCAGCAAACTGACACAAGAGCAGAAAATCAAACCCTGCATGTTCTCACTCATAGGTGGGTGTTGAACAATGAGAACGCATGGACACAGGGAGGTAAGCACTACACACTGGGGTCTGTTGGGGGGAAATCGGGGAGGGACAGTGGGGGGTGGGGAGTTGGGGGGGATGGCATGGGGAGAAATGAAGGATATAGGTGATGGGGAGGAAGGCAGCAAATCACACTGTCACGTGTGTACCTATGCAACAATCTTGCATGTTCTTCACATGTACCCCAAAACCTAAAATGCAATAAAAAAAAAAAGAATGTAGGATAAATGCCAAGGGAAGTTACTGTAATTTATGTGGTGCATTATGGACATTCTCTCTCTTTTTTTTAACTTCTAAAAATCATGGAAGTGATCTTTACCATAGAAATTACTGTATAAAATCTCTTCCATATTCAAAATATTGGAGAGTATTATTAAAAGATATGCGTCTAAAAAAAAATTGCCTGCAACATTTTTTGAAAAACTGCAGCACGAGGAACTAAGACCGTCTAAGAGACGCATCACACACATACTGTACTTGTTGACCACCTGATCATTTGTAAAGGAACAGCTTATTCATCCTTACCTTCTCCTTCAAACTCTCCTGTGCACCCAAAAGGACATTCACAAAGCCTTCCAGGGAGCTCAGGAACTCCTGCCGGACATGAGCTGTGTCCTGCAGGCCCTCAAGCTCGCCCCAGCCATGGCTCGTGGCTCTGAGAGCAGGAATGAAGATGTCCGACAGCAAACGCCTTACACTGTTGAGCAGGCCTCCATCTGCAGCATCTAACATGTTAAAGCTCACCTCCTGGAAAACAAGCAGGAGATCCTTTACTGTACATATGATCCTCAAATGCCACACAGCTACTAAGTCATTTCTAAATGTTGTCACTTTACCAAATACCCAGAAAATTATTAGTTTGGGCCAGGCGTGGTGGCTCACACCTGTAATCCCAGCACTTTGGGCGGCCGAGGCAGGTGGATCATTTGAGATCAGGAATTCAAGACCAGCCTGGGCAACACAGTTAAACTCAGTCTCTACTAAAAATACAAAATTTAATTGGGCATGGTGGCAGGCACCTGTAATCCCCTCTACTTGGGAGGCTGAGGCACAAGAATCACTTGAACCCAGGAGGCAGAGGCTGCAGTGAGCCGAGAGGCACCACTGCATTCCAACCTGGGCAACAGAGCAAGACCCTGTCTCAGAAAAAAAGAAAATTATTAGTTTGACATCCTGGTTAAGAAATAAGAGACAGGCTGGGCACAATGGCTCACACCTGTAATCCCAGCACTTTGGGAGGCCAAGGCGGTAGATCACGAGGCCAGGAGTTCAAGATCAGCCTGGCCAAGATGGTGAAACCCCATGTCTACTAAAAATATAAAAATTAGCCAGGCATGATGGTGGGCACCTATAATCCCAGCCACTCAGGAAACTGAGGCAGAGAATTGCTTGAACCCAGGAGGCAGAGTCTGCAGTGAGCCAAGATCATGCCACTGCACTGCAGCCTGGGCAGAGAGAGATCCATCTCAAAAAACAAAAAACAAAAAACAAAAAAAAAAAAAGAAAGGAAAAAAGAAATAAGCTTTACACTATCCTAAATTGTAATCATCAAAATAAAAGCATGCAATAAATAGAATGCCAGATGTTTACCAATTCATATGCTCCAAGAAGATAGTGCACCCATCAGAGGGACAGGAAAAACTTGTACAGACACACTTTACTTTATGCAAAAAAAAAAAAAAAAGTTACATATCTACTCTCAGAAATCTTATCTTAAATGTATAAAATTCACCACTAAGTAAATTATGCATGGGGAATTCTTTAGAAAAAGAAAGTCCTCACTGTTATACATGCTCAGAAAAACAGCAAAGGAGAAAGGACTTACAGAGTGCCTACATAAATTGGTTATGAGTAACATATAAACAAGGAACAACAAACTGCAGAAGGCCGTAGGAGGCCTCTGAGGAGGAAGGCCTCTCCATGCCTCATGTTCCGGTACCGGGCGACCTAGGTTCTGTAACCATAAACATTGTGCTCAAGGACGTAAAACCCCTTCATAGCACTATGACATAGCCAGACTTGTAGGGTCCTTGTAAGGCCCGCATTCCATCAGCTGTACATAGATAATAAGCTAAAGATAGCCACGTGTTCTTATTTTGTGAAACTCCCAAAACACCACTGTTATCAATCCTTAGAATGACACACCAGTTCCGGCTCACTGATTCACTCCACCATCACTCCACCCCTACCCTACAGATCAAAGTGATTGTAATCAATAAATAGTGTGGATGATCAGAGCTCGGGATCTTCACTGTCTCCTCCAAAGTAATAAAGTGATGGTCCCCGGGTCCCACCTTCTCTCTTGATCTGTCTTTTTCTGATTCCTTTGTCCCACTGAACTCGGGGTACCCATGGGTGATGTAGGGCTGGTTCCCTATATTCTGGTGCCCAACTGTGGGGCTCATGAATCCCTATATTCCACACACTCAGAAGGTTGTATCGATTTGTGTTAATAAATCAAATATTAAGTCCTCTTACTCAAAAGATTTAAAGGGAACGTCCTCTTAATTTCTTGCTTTAAATTTTTTAAAAATACTTCTCTGAAAGGAGTTTTAGATACTGTAGTGAATACAATGGCTGTCTTTACCGGAGGAATATTTGTGTGCAAGTTGTATGATTTTTAGTAATTCAGAGTAAACAACGGCTCTTGCCCCTTACCCGGTGGATGTTGTCAGGGGTGATGGCTTTAGAAGGGTCGGTCCTGATGAAGAACACACATGCCCCAGTAAGGGCCACATCTTTTCCCTCAGTCACGAACACCTTAGGTTTTTTAATCTTTCCAGAAACAAGATTTACCCCTCCTAGAGAGCCAAGCTGTCCTACAAAAGCAAAATAATTTTAGTATCACAAATGCTTCTTACAGTCCACATGGTTGCCTTTGGAAAGAAGTTTCCCTGTTAAAATATTGCCATTGTTGACTTGTCCGTGTGCCTTAGGTTGGTCCACCTCTTGAACAATCTCTAGCATGAGCCCTATAGGCATCTCAAAGAATCTGTATGATTCCAGATCATAGATTCACTTCAAAATTGTTGTTTCACAGGCAGTGAAAAGAGGGAAGAAAGACAAAGTATCTACTGGCATGTACTGTGTCCCAGGCCCTTTGCTACATACCGTTATGAAAACACAACTCAGCTGGGCGCAGTGGCTCACACCTGTAATCCCAGCACTTTGGGAGGCCAAGGTGGGCAGATTGCCTAAGGTCAGGAGTTCAAGACCAGCTTGGTCAATGTGATGAAACTCTGTCTCTACTAAAAATACAAAAATTAGCCTACCGTGGTGGTGCGGACCTGTAATCCCAGCTACCAGGGCGGCTGAGGCAGGAGAATCGCTTGAACCCGGGAGGCAGAAGTTGCAGTGGGCCGAGATCACACCACTGCACTCCAGGCTGGGCAACAGAGCAAAACTCAGCCTCAAAAAAAAAAAAAAAAAAAAAAAAAAACCTCTTGAGAGAGCTGTGACATGTTCCAAGTTAAACAGCCAAACTTGGTGGCACCACTTGGTGACCTTGGTGGCAGAGCCAAGGTCAAAAACCAGCTCTGACTATAAAACTCAGAACCCTCACTTCCCCATGCTGTCCATTCTCTGTCATAGTCAGCATAACCAGTTATCTTTCAAATACTGCTGGTATCAGGGTCTTGTAGAGGTAGGACCACTTGATGATGAAGTGTGGGCTATACAGTCAGACTCCCAGAACTTCAATCTCAGGCTGTGCTTCCCAGCCATGTGACCTTGCCAAGTTACTTAATCTTTCCGTGCCTCTGTTTTCTCATCTTCTCATTTTAAAAGTGAGAATAATACTAGAACTTAGCATCTGAAATTGTTGTGAAAATCAACTGAGTTAATACATCTAAAGCCCTTAGAAAAGCACATAAGAATAATAATGCTTACACATAAGTAAGCATTATTATCAGTATGGAACATTCATCTTTGATTATCCAAGCATGTAGAACATTTAAGTACACAGAATATACTGTGAGCTAGTCCATTGTGTTCTTACCTGCCCAAGAAATGTTTGGATCTTCAGACAGGTAACTCAATCTGGATTACTGGGGTGGGAGGATGGTGCTAATGGTGTACTTTGGGAAGAGAAGTAGACCAGAAGTTGAATCCTATAATCCTGGGATTAAAACCTCTTGGAATAATCCTCCCTCAGGGATCTTCCTCCCATGGTGCTAAGCTAGAAACCTGGACTGGGGCTTTGACAGTGAACCGTCATTAAAGGTAGCCAGAAGATCAATCTCCCCCTCATTCAAAATTGCATCCCACTCCTGGCTAATATCACCTGGGTCTCATGAGTAATAAGATGTTAGGCAACAAGTTTCAACTGAGGCACCAAGGCATGATAGACATCAGAAAACAGAGTTTCAAAGAAAAAAAAATCAGCAGAAATTTCAAAGCGCTTTTCCTAGAACTGATTAGACATCTCCTCCCGGGCCCTCATCAGAATGCAAAAGGGTCAAGAGCATGTAGACTAAGGAAGGATTTTGTGAAGACAGTTATGCTATGTATTAGTCTGTTTTCATGCTGCTAATAGAGACAGACCTAAGACTGGGCAATTTACAAAAGAAAGAGGTTTAATTGGACTTACAGGTCCATGTGGCTTGGGAAGCCTCACAATCATGGTAGAAGGCAAGGAGAAGCAAGTCCTGTCTTACACAAATGGCAGCAGGCAAAGAGAGAATAAGACCCAAGCTAAACACGTTTCCCTTAACAATCCATCAGATCTCATGAGACTCATTCACTATCACCAGAACAGCGCAGGAAATACCCAACCCCATAATTCAATTACCTCCCACCAGGTTCATAGCACAACACATGGGAATTGTGGGAGTTACAATTCAAGATGAGATTTGGGTGGGGACCCAGAGCCAAACCATATCATCCTATGCAAAGGAGGGAGGGGTTCCTGGGCTGCAGGACTTTCGGTGCTAAAATCAGGACAGTCATGCCAGTCAAAAAACAAGGTCTTCAACCCAGCCACCTAAAGAGCCTGGTTTATGTCTCCTGGAGTTTAGGAACAAAATGACTGGGATATGACACCTGACCCAGATAAGAAGTCTAAACACAGTGTACAATAAGGCAGATAGAGAGAAAGTGGACTGTGCTGGGAGCTAACAACACATCCACGGAGGGCAGGGACCTAGGAACCCAGTGGGGGCCCTGCTAAAAAGAGCCAGACTGGAGCCACCTTAAATCCTACTCAAAAGGAGCACCTGAGGGAGGATGGGACACAGTGATTGCTCCTGGTGCTAACACTACCAAGTTTCAGAGGTCATCATCAGGACAGCCCATTGCCATGGGATGCACAGCCAGTGTTCCCAGTGGTCACCTCGGGAGAACCCACCACCAGGCCCACAAGAGCAAGGTAAGAGTGCAAGGTCAGTCAGCTCACAACAGTGGCAGTCCAGCAAAAACTTTCCCACCCTGCTTCCCTTTTATCTCTACCTTGCCTCTGGCCTCACACAGTCAGACACTTTGGTTAAGCTGCTGTGGACAAGGGGTGGAAGAGGAAGGTGAAAAGAAGAGCACATAGTCCTCCTCTTCTCCCACTGAGAACTTCAACCTTCAGAGGAATGGGGGGCTCAGGGGTGAGGAAGGAAGAAGATTTCACTTTCCATCAATGGGACAGTTTTTCTTTTTGAGTTGAGGTTGTGTTAGTAATTTTAAATGACCATAGAAGTTTTTGTAATCTAAGAATATCCAGGAAAGTCATGGGACTGCCAGCCTTCTAATCCAAGTTCAGAAGAAGGACTATCACGAGGGAGAAGATGTAAAGGTTAAACTTGCTTTTATGTTTGTGTCCTACAAACACTTCTGGCTCCAAGTAAAATTTACACAGAAGGCCAGTTTCATCCAGTGCTCCATTCATGGATAAACTTGATCTTTCATTTGAGCTTATGTTTTGCAATCTGCTGTAGAAACCGAAACTTCTATCTCTTGATTTTTCACTCAAAATGTAATAAGCTTTCTAAGCACAAAATACCAAATTGACAGCTTTGAGAAAATGCCAGTTCAAATTTGTATGCATAATTTCTTCAGTTTTTAAACAAAGAAGTATAGTCTTACTATATGCCAAGAGCAATAACTATTTTCCCTTTTTTCAAATGGGTAGTAAAAAGGATGTATGTAATATTTTAATATATTAAATAATGCATTTATTCATATATTCACTTACGTTCCCGGTTAGGCCTTTAATATTACATTAATCCACTTAAAAGGAGAATAGACTATCCCAGTTGAATCCATAGAAAGATTTGCAAACTTTTCGTAAGTGAGGATGATGAAACCTGTCGTCCAATATTACTTATTTAAAGCAAAGTCAGTAGAAAATAAATACAATGTGATATTTAACTAAAAAGGGATGTTATACATACTGGCAATTTCTATGTAAAAAAAAATAATGTCTATATACATGAGAAACAGGTACCCATTATAACTTCTAGAACATAATACACAGAATGAACTAGAATATAAGAAAAGGAAGTCGAACATAATCTACTTTATTATCTTTACTGCCAGCACAGCCTGAGAAGGAAAAGAAAACATCTCCAATGAAGTTAGAACAACCAGGCTAAATACCAACTGTAATCTGTCCTCTATCCTTGAGGACACACAACTTCTTCCACAGGGCCACACCCAACACACTAAGGGTTTCCCACATCGACCCACACACACACCTCCCTCCTGCCAGCAAGGTGAAACAGGTCTGTTCTCACAGTGGCTTTCTTCTTCAAGCTACCCTCAGATGAATCTAATGACACATTTCTGGGTTATGTCACATCAAATTCAAATACCTGTTTCTGCTACCTCCACATCTTGATAGTAAAACATGAGGTGTCGGGGACCTCCAACAGCAAAAAGTTCATCGATTCTTTCAATCTGGGAAAAAGAAAAAGGCAAGATAGTGACTTTTAATCCAAATTAGAAACTGCACTTAAATCAGCATTAATAGTATAAAAAAGGAAAATTACTGTCATCTTTCTTACTCAAACAGGACTGCAGCTAATGTATCCTATATAAAAGGGAGCAACTATGTCAGAATAAATGTCTCACCATAGTATAAACTCCATTCAAAAAAGTAATTTAATGAATCATAGAAATATCTGTTACTTAT